TTCATGACAATATACACATCAAAATAGTTAACATTTATTGGGTTGGCAAGAAAGTAAGTTGTGTTTGCACAACTAGATATCGTTATGTTCATTTTGTTATGCTTCTGTTTTGTAATTTTTTTTCTTTTGAGATTTAGCAGCTTACACTTTTAGGTTGGTACAGAAACAAATTTAGTGTATTTCTATTTGCAACCGTTAGTTTACGATCAATTTTAACATGAGGGTCAAAAATAAACATTTTCGATACATTTGACTTTTTTTTTATTTTTATAAAGGCAAGAAAGCAGCTGAAGCTCACAAACAGATATACGGAGTTTATGGTGTTGATTGCTTAACAGAATGCGTGTATCAGAACTGGTTCAAAGACTTTTCTTCCGGAGATTTTTCATTTGAAAATGACCACCGTTCTGGCCGACTTTTTGAAATTCTGATCATTATGATATATGATATATATTGTTCTATTAATTCTCGTTTCTATTTCCTCTCACTTTTAGTTGGGGTTCACATCCCTATTTAGTCATACACTCCTTATACATTTCATTGTACAGTATTATATTCCATACTTCAGAACTTTCACTAGCTCTTCAGCATTAATGCAAATGCGTATTCGCCTCTATATAGATTAAATAAACTTTTATAATAAACGGTTTAAAAGAGACTCGTACCTCTGTCTCGCCATCAATCCCATGATTGAGTCCAGTCCAGAATTGTCTCATTTCTTTTTGATCGATATATAGATAATTTTTATTCAGTTACAGAGTGATAATTTGCATTACTGTTCTGTTTCTGGTAGACATCTCGCCTCCACAAAATATTAATATAAATTCTCAACAGCAACATTTTTTATGACCCTGTTTAGTTAAATCCGAAGCCGCGAAATGTTTCGCACATTTTCATTACTAGCCCTGGGAATTTTGACAACTTTTTTTCTAATAAAAATTACTGCTCCACCTATAGTTAAGGCACAAAAACTTCAGCAAATTTTCAGAAACATTAAAAATTTATAAAGAAAAAACTCGATAACAAATTTTACTTCGCAAAATCAGAAGTGAAGTTACTAATATTTGTTTATTAATTCTTTTTTTTAATATTTCACAAACGCTCAATATTCCCAGCTTTGTTGATACGGCAGACATCAATTATCCATCATTGGGAAAATTTACTCGTATATATTCGAAAGTTGGCTTATGACACAGTTGAGCGAAATGAATCAAAATTTACGAAAAAGGTAGATAAGACGAAAATATGATATATTAAAACATGGCCATCCTGGTCTTCTGATTTAAATCTATGTGACGTTTTCTCCTGGAGGTTTGTCAAGGACTATCTTTGTGCTCCGCTTCGCGCTAGTCTCCAAGATCTTCGCAATCGTAATATCTCTGTTATGGCTGTGGTCGACCATGATGTACTGAAACGCGTGTGGGATGAATAGAATTATTGTATAGATGTCTAGCGTATCAGGAAAGGTGAAGGCATTGAGCATTTATAAAATATATTTTAAAAAAATCAACCTGGATTTTTTTCCTCTTTTTTTTTTACGATATAGTATGTGTTGCATGTTTATACATTGGGCGCTTGGGGCGAGCATCCATTAGCCCGGATAAGCTGCACCCAACCAGAACTTCCGGTTATAAATTTCGATAGTTGAAGATAAAATTTATTTAGAAAAATAGTAAAATTATTTTGCGAAACAAATCCGCGCCTTAAACCTGCAAGTCCATGTCCGTATTGTCCGTCGATATCTAAGGCCGGCGGGGCGCCGCGTGGTAAGAGTGGGATGACAACTATAATGCGCCTTTACAAATCAAGAAGCAGGCAGAAAAATTAGACTACAGACAGTACCTTACCAAATATGTAACGCGACGCAAGCATTATAAATAAATAATGGAGTGTGGACTACCTAGCAAATAAAACGATAAATTTATTGCACTGGTTGCAAGATAGCGGATAACTTACTAGTAGTAGTAGTACTAGCCAGAGTTACCCGTTCTGAGAACGGGATTTTATAGTGTTCGTCTTAAAAAGTTTTTTCTATCTTTTTTTGATTATATGTATTTAATAAAAGTATTTCTTCCTTTAATCTGGTTACAATAAATCCTTATAAACAACATTTGTAATAATATCCTATAGAATCCACGGGCAGTACGATTTTTAGATTATCTCTACTCCTTACTCTACTCAAAGCGAATTAGAATTGAAGTATGTAATGTAATATCTGACAGTACTATCCATATTTCGAAGAAGTAAAATTATAGCGTTTAAATGCTTTTTCTCCCTAGAAAAGGAGGAGATCAAAATATTAATTGCCATTTTGTGCGAGAAATATCGGCACCATATTGGCGAAATCAAAGAATATTTACAAAACGAAATTATTTATTTTCAAGAATTATGCAAAAATTTAAACAACCTTAATCTAATTTGAATTTGTTTTATTATCTATTTCATATTTTGTAAAACTTAACGAATTTTTGATTAACAAACTCAAGGATTTCAAAGCGAGCAATGGCAACGTTTTACAGAAAAAACATTTTTATCTCCAGCGCATGAGACTGTGTATCGGAAATTTTAAAGATATGCTCATTTTAAAATTATTTTGCGATATTTCTTTTGAACTGAATTTTATGGTTTAAGTGCGAAGAACATGATATTTAATAAATAAAGGTAACACATAAAATGTTAAAAAACAAAAACCTTTGTGTTAAAAAAACACCCCTTTGGACGTAATTTAAAATTTGAAACCTTTCAGATTTTCTTTTTTTTTTTAACATATAATTTTACAATAAAAATTTAAAATGTTTCATTTGTTAGCGGATCCAAGAATCGCCTTGGATCCGCCAGTGTCAAGGGGCCCCGAATTGAGCTTAAGCCGGCTCTGTGTTGCATAGTATATTTACTGTGAACTTTTAGAATGATTTACGAATTAAGATTAATCTTTGAAGGAACTATGATGAGATACAAAAGGACTTGCATTACATAGTTGCCATAGTTCACTCATTTTATAAAGTATGGTTTTAGAGCACTGCATTTGGTGTTATATGTGCTAAACATGTTTACGTAAATTGGAACTTCTGCATTTATAGAAATGAGAAATAATGAATATTGAGTAATACTAGAAAATAATTATTTCGAAATGTTTTATATGAGCATAGAAACTAAAGTGGGTCATTAGGAAATACGTGTTGTTTATTCTAGTGATATCAAAATAACAACAGTATATGAAAATGATTATGCATCTCCAAAAGACTCTAGAAAAGTTCTGAAGGACTATATTCACTCAATGTTTCAAATATAATTCTGCTCGTAGTTCTGGGAGCATTATGTTCAATCAGAGGTTAAGTTGTTATTCTAATACAGGGAATATTTTTTACAGTTTGAAAGATAAAAGATAAAATAAAAAGTTCACATTTTTACTCTCAAAAGTAGCAGTGGACGTTTTTATTGGACATAATTCTTCCAAGAAAGTCGAGAGAGTCTTACATTTTAACACATAGCTTTTTTAAAGAATATTCTTTTTAGAAGAACAATAAACTGAAATTAAATATTGCTGCCTCTCACAAGTTGTATTAATAATATATCATTTGCATTTATGCAAAGCTAACGTGCTTATATTAAAACAAATAAATACTTAACAAGCAGACGATAACACTATGCTAGTTCGTGTGAATAACTATGTTAATAGTTATTTAACGTGCTTTAATTTTTATTTAAAAAAGGTTAAAGGTATGTATCGTATTAGCGGTGTAAACACGGAGCGTACCTGTAATGAGTGATCCGCATCGCCATCTGTTGAGGGGAAAGGTAAAGAAAAGAGGAAAATCTTCATAAACATTGAATTATCAGAATTGCAATATGGACAGTTTATTAGCACACAATTATTCTTTTAATGCGAAAAGGTTTAACAAAATAAAGTTAATCAATTTTAAAAAGCTTTTGAACAAGTTTAGTAAAATATGTCGAGACGCCATTAAGCGCAACGACGAATATTACTTCCTTAGTTTCTACTAAAAATTTTATGTTTTTTTTAAAAAAGAATTATTAAAGTTTTGCCAGTTTATAATTTATATAGATCTTAAAAATCTTACTGACAGGCGATATAATAAACTCTTTATAAAATGAAATCGGGAATGTGAATTTAAAGGTCTAATTGTAAATTTTACTGTGTTTTTACTTAAATAAAGTGAATATAGCTGCCTAAATAACTAAACAAAGCCAGCAAATTAAATGTATTTAATTACCCGAAATAATTTTAAAATTAACATTAAGTAGATTATAAAAACAAAAAGGAAGCTAATTTTTATTACTTTTGGCACATTCAAAGTAATGGAAACTTTTTAATTGCCTTTCACACTGAATTTATGTAAAAAAAACAATATATATATGTATATATATATATGTCTCTCTATATATAGTTATTAATTTTGAAGAAGTTTATTAAGTTTTGAATTTTAAGTTAAAACTAACGCATAAATTTTCACTAAAATTCTTCCATACTTTAATTAAATCCTGTATGAATATTTCCCCTTAACTTTACAGTAGGTTTCTCGCAGTTACCCTACAGTTGCAATCATAGTTTGAATACACCCATTTTCATTTTTATATTTGGCATTAACGTTGAACAGATAAAAATTTTGACTGTCTTAAAGTCCCACTCATCAAGCATGAAAGCAGTTAAGAACATTCTTCATTTCATTTCTGTGCTTTTAGAAATATATGTCTATTCCAACTGAGTGATTTAACTGTTTCTAATGAACACTTTACTTAATTGAAAATGCTATTTATTTCGTTGAGCTATTTATTTTGTTGAATTTCTACTTACATATTGATGAAGTAATGTTTTTATGCACTTGAATTGAGCTCTATAAAAATTTATTTTGAAAAGTAAAATTTGGTATGTCAAAGTCTGCCGCTGAATATTTAATGTAAAATTCGTACATTTATTCATTACTTTTCTGTTACTTTTTCGTAATGAAACTGAATGTTTGTTTTGTTTTTCTTTACAGACCCCCATAAAATATATAAAACAAGTAAGTTTTCATGACATTAGAGATTTTTATGGTTTAATTAATTAATTTATCAAATGCTTTTTTTTTAATCTTTGTGCTTTATTTCAGGCAGACAGTCGATATGGCCTCAGCGGAGATATGGTAATACTTTCTGATTTTTTCTTCCTTCCTCATGCGCTCCTTTTTAACATAACTATATTTTTAAAAAAAGTAATCCAGTAGTAGAGAACACTAATAACGGGCTTCCCTACTTTTTAAGATTATTGTGCGCATATTTATACCATTTAGTAACTTCTATAAAAGACGTAACATTAAGTGAAAGCGAAATAATAAGAAATTTTTTAACGTTAATTTTAAATTAAAATAAAACTGACTTAAAATTTTCAGTAAATCAATATATAACTCATTAATTGCAAATGGTGCATTAATAAACTTTGCATAAATGAAACCTGTTTAATATTTAATGGTGGAAGTGACGTAAATAATTTACTTTCTTTAATCTGAAGTAGCAAAAAACTGAAGATAATTTTTAATACAATTTCAAATAAATGTTGCTTTTAAGTATTACAGATAAGTTCTTCAAACGTTAACACAGTTAGCAACTTACTATTACAATAAGTTCTTACTTACTCTTAGAACTTACTCTTACAAGTAAGTTCTTCAAACGTTAACATAGTTAGCAAATTACTATTACAAAATTATAAATAATTGCATAATAATTATTTAGCATAATATTTGAGGCATGTTAAAAAACAACAGCACGTGCAGTTTATCTTCCTGTCGACCCCCCAAATCAAGTTGTACTCATTTTAAAGGGGTTGCCTCCCCACCTCCCAATCTTTGTTCATTGCTCTAACAGTTGTGGGCTTTAAAGAAAATGGATTAGATTTTATCTTTGAGTACTGTATTTGTCTTCTTTCATTTGATACACAATAAATAAAATTAAATTACTTTAATTACGGTTTTTTTCCGAGCTAAAGAGAAACTGTATGTGGATTACAAACTATATTTTCTCATAAATAAACAAAGAAAAGTTAAATACAGTTTTATGCTCTTCATTTTAATTTTGTACAATAATTCATTAATTTGCACAACCAGTATTGTATTGCAAAGTGTGTTAAATGATAGCTTTTGGGATTAAGTATAATTTCAGTTAAGAGATGTTTTATTCGTATTTAATTAAATGCAAAGTTTATCTCCTTCTTTCAGGTCATCGGACCCCCTGGACCCGCTGGACCTCCGGTAAAATATTAGTGATTTATTTTTTATGCTTTTCATTTGAATTAGAGAAGTGATTTTACAGTTGTGCAATATTCTTTTACATTAGATGTATCGCCTTCAAAACTACTTAAAACATTTCTACTTAATTTTATCAATTTTGAAAGTTATGAAGCAATTTTGTAACCGAAGATTAAATATCAATAAACGATGAAATCTTTGCTCAAGATCAATTAAAGAGCACTTAGTGTTTCTGGAAATTGAATTTTTTACCTAAAAAAATATTTGTAAATGCATCTGTCAAATGGAGACATTAGACCATTTAATGTTATTTCATTAAATTCCCAAATTAATTCGTTCGTATCTAGAAAAATTTACATTTCAACTGTAATTTAATTTTATTTATATATTATTTTAAAAATTTCCCATCGCATAATGTACATATTTTAAAAATATATATTTTTTGCGAATTGTATTACCTGTTTAATATTTGTACTTTCTTAAAAGTAAATAAGTAATTTTTTTTCAAATTTTCAGTTGGCTAGCAAATGGATTTACAATTGCGATAATTTCAGATGCATCATCTACATTATATTTCTTCATATCTATACACAATTCTTCATATGTGCTCTGAAAAAAAGTGTGTTAGAAAAATAATGAAACATGAATTGATTTTATAAAAAGTGCTTTTTCATGCAATATGAGAACCTTTCTTCGAGATCATTTTTCCGATTCATGTTTACTGAAGAAATATCAATCTGAAGTTGATTTTTGTTTTCCCTATTCATGATAACTGAAGAAATATCAATCTGGAGGTGATTTTAGGCTGAGAGTGTGTAATTATTTTTGTTACGGATTTTTGCTTTTTATACATTGAGGCCAAACCGCTTTCCTGCACACATTCAAAGCCTCACCAACCTCTCTTCTCAATATTAAAAATATTTCCGCAAGCAATGATAAATCCTGACAAAAGTCATGTGATCCATCCGAAATATTTTATCAGTCTTATATCTCATCATCAATCTCTATTGTACTTTTATACTCTCTAATATTTATTTTTATAATCATAATAATTAACCCAATTACTGATAATCTAGTTTACATAGCTTATACTCTCTGCCATAAAGACAACAAAATTTCTCCTTATTTAACTACCTAATTAACCCTTTAATCAGGCATATATTCTTAAAATACTACTAAAGCAAGGCCAAATCTCTCTATTTAAAACTCACTTTTTTACATATTCTCGGAGTGGAAGAAACAGTAGATGAATAAGACAGATTTTAATATAAGTAATAACACATTGGTTAAAATAGATCTTACAAATTAAGGAACACTAACAAAAATTTGTAAGTAGAAGTTATTAAATTACATGTAATTTATAAGATATCCTTACGTATATTTAAAAACTTTTTGTCTTTGATCCTGTTTTTAATTCTTACAATATAGTAATTATTTGTTTCCTTTCAGGGTCCTCAAGGTGTTCAAGGGCCTCCCGGCATAAAGGGTGATAAAGGAATGGATGGTCAAAAAGGAGAACCCGTAAGTTTTCTATTAATGAGAAAATAGCGTGTTAAAATAATCTCAACTTATAATTAATATAATTAATCTACTCATACGAAATATAATAACGCCGCTACGAAATTCATTCATTTATTGTCAAAAATGATGTCAAAACAGCATATTTATGAAACGATCTGTCACGGTAATTCGATTCCTGACTATGTTTCATAACGCAAGCAGGAGTGCGTTTCTCTTAGTCTTCTCATGCGTTTCTGAAGTCAGTTTGTTAACATCACATGACTCAGAGCTAATTCATCCATAATATGATTTTAGAAACCCAAAAAATAGGGTTATCATGTATCTTAAAACAAATGTCAAATAAAATACGAGCAAACTGTTGACAGAAAGTAAAAAGAAAAGTTATGAAGTCATCAAATTCTATCAATTTCTTTAATTCCAAAATATATATGATTAATCATATAGTGGATCATTAGGATATCTTTAATTTCTTATATAGTTTGCTGGAGACATCTACAAATAAAATAACAAAATTCATATTATTCAATTCTTTTGTTTCACTTTACCCATTTAAAAAAGCTAAGATTTCGTAAAAGCTAAAATATAAGCACTTGTTAATTTTTTTCATGTGACATAGGGACATGAAGAGAAATTTAAAATACTAATTGTTTTCTACTTAATATGGATTTATGCTAATCCCAGTAAAAAAGTTTGTGCTTTCGAAAATTAAATTCGTGATACTATCAAAAGTGAACCAAAAGCAGTTTTATCCAGTTATTTTTAAATTTTCGATCCAAATTGTTGTATATTTTAAAATAAGCAATATCTGCAAGAGACTCTTTCATTTACGTCAGCATAATAATTAACAAATCTATCAAAAAATTCATCTTTTTTTCATTTTCATTCAACTTTACTGTTTATAACTTGTTTCATCCTTTCGAATGTTTGAATATGCTTTAATTACTTTAATTACAACTTTAATTACCTATGGCGTAATGGCGTGAAAGCAAGAGTTTTGTATTAAAACATATTAACATGAAAATAAAGGAATGATAAAATTTCGCACTGAAGATTAATCGTAGTTCATAATTTTAGTCTTAAATCAAGGGATACTACAATGCCACAATTCATTGTAATGTACATTGAATTTGTTGTATTACCTCAATTGAATCTCCCGTCTTAAAATGAGATAAAATCACCGAAGTCGGCAGAAAAGTATATCTTGATACATTCATATTAAGCTTAAACAGAATCATGAACATACAACTCTTCCAAATAACTCTGATACTGCTAAAATTGAATTTTCCGATGAAAGAATTACTGCATGATTTAAAATACGTACAAATATTTTTATATGAATATATCCAAATTTGATATGTGTTAAAATATGCAAATTATTAGGAATGCCATAGCTATCAAACACAGGCTGTTCTCAATGATATAAATAATTGTGGTGATAATCCGTTAGTTACACGTGAAAAATTTTTAAATACCTGTAAAATAAGAAGGACATTGATATATGCCAACAAAGGAGAATTTCATTGGCTGTACCCAGGATTCACAATGAATGGTATGGAAAGCACTTTTTTTTGTAACATATAATGAAATATCTTTTTATTGGTGAAAGGAACTAGATGGCAGCTAACGGAAACGTAGATCAAAGAATGTTGTAAATGGTAACAGATGTATATTTCATCATTTAAATGTAAAATGTAGTACCGAAAATCAGAAACAAATACTGTCCATACAAAAAATCAAAATCATCATAGACTGAGATTTCACATTGGATGAACCAATCAGCAGCCATTCATCTCTGTAAAAAGCAGAAGTCTACTACAGTTGGCGCGAGTTTACTAAAATCGAAAACCAAGCCAAATAGAGAAAAGGTAATCTAGTACAACGAATTCAATTTCCATACGATTCGCATGAGATGGGGATGGGGGTAGAATATGCTACCAAAACTAGGTTCTTGTGGATGTTTTTGTTTCATTCATTTTTATTAAATGCATGCTTACATACATATCTATGTAAATAAAATGTACTCTAATAAACTTAATTTTGTTGAATATATAGTTGTTGTTGTTGTTTCAATATCCTTTAACGCGAAATTCTTTTAACACGAAAAAATATTTCAGTCCCCCTTAGTTTCGTGTTAAACGACTTTCACTATGTTTTTTTTTTTTTTTTTTTTTTTTTTTTTTTTTTTTTCAATTTCTGAATCACTAGATGTAATATATATCCCAGTAAAAGCCAGCTTACTTTCCCGCAATTTTTCTGTCTACTTTATTCTAAAACATGAAATCTAAGAAAATTATAACAGTAAATTTACCAAAATAGTATTTTCCATAAAATGTTTAACTTTATGTTTAGGTAAAATGAAGGATTATGATTAGTTGAAAAAATGCGGAATATCATAAAAAAATCAATACAAGATTTTAAAAAATTCCAAGTGCATTACATATTATAGAAACAAATATTACTCTGCTTCATATTATGTGCTGGGTGAACATTTCTCGCCTGCTGTTTTTGCAAGACTTTTCGTTTAAAGGGGGGACAGCACCCTGATGCAGCAGCTGCTTTTTTGAAGCCCGAATAACAGAGGAAGTCTAATTTCCGCTCAGCTTCCACTCGAAACCATTTGTGATTTCCCATGGTTTCTCAATTTAGTCCAAGCTGTAAACTGGGACGTTTAAAACCCTTGAACTGCAGGTTGTCTGAAAACCGTTCTATTAGTTTTTGCAAAAGGAGATTGAATGTTGTTATATAAGTGATTTGAAATACATTTTTTTCTTTTTCTGCAGGGTGACAAAGGAGATAAGGGCGATCCTGGACCAATGGGACTTCCAGTAAGTTTTCTTTTTGCCTGCGTTCATCATTTTTATTTGTGATTAAAAGAAATAAAGCTGAAATTAGCTGACATCATGTACTTTACCTTCACATATATAGAGTGAAAAATCTTAACTCTTTAAGAAAATTCGGCGTTGAGTTTCTGACGAATCTACGCATTCCAGGAATGAAGTTTAGGTTTGGTTTATTTAATTACGGCAAAGCACACTAGGACTATCTGCCTAAGGGAAGGGATGCCTTCGTGGAGGAGGACTTTCTAAGGGAACTTGCTCGTATACACGTTATACACGGGGAAAACCACAAAAACGCCCATGCAGCCAGCCCGTTTGCGGGATTCGAACCTCGGATCGAACTACCAGTGTTCAGCGACTTTACCGCTCGGCCGCTGGTGGACCTGGAAAGAAGTTTAGAAAAGGGTATTTAATTGTCAATATGTAAGCCGTAGTTAAGATTCGAAAAAGGAAGGTTATTATGCTTCTCTAGTCATAAAATTTTTCCAAATCCCTTCCCATCTTTGCTTTGAATAAACATCTTCTCTATCTTAAGGAAAAAATTTTTTACCAATTTTATTTGCAAGTTACATTTTAAACGACTTGTTTGGTCTGTATACATTTTTATGTGAAGCTATGTCTGAGTTCTCCTTCCTTTCCTGTTCCTATCTTAAATTCCACAGGGCGAAAATAAAAAATCCGTGTAAATAAAGGGCTAAATAATGAAAGACTTAAAGGTCTTTCTGAAACCTCCTCAGTATTTTATTTCTTAAAATACTAATGTAACAAAATATGGCCCTACTTTCTTTCATACTTTGTTGGGAAGATGAGGAAAGTGTGTGTAAACGCCTATCACTACAGCATCGGTTAACTAAACTAATTTTCCTAAAGACTGATTATACCACAATAATTATACCACAATGGACACAGCTTTATCGAAACTCAGTTAAACCCTGGCGAATGGAGAAGCGGATGAAAAAGTGACTAATTCAATGAATTCGAAAACTGTTTATTCACTTTTTTTCTTTGTTTTATTCCTTATAGAATGTATGAAGGAAAAGCATACGATGTGTAATTTATAATAATAATGCATCGTACGCAAGCATACTTAATTATGAAATCTGCATTCAAGAGATCACTTTCAGATTCGTTGATTTAATTGTATCAAATAAAATTTGCTTTATATATAAATATTTTCTTAAGGGGTCAGGTAGCTTTAAATAAAACCCAAAAATGAAAATTTATGCTTTTATTTTTAAATTCGATTTCTAATGAGTATTTTAAAACACACCTCATGTAAGAATCCGCTGTAGAAGTAATATTATGCATAAAAAATATTCTAAGCTTTTGTTATTTGAAGAGCTAGCTGGTTTATTTACATTTGCTTTTCAGCAAATTACTGGTATTAAAATCTGTGGTCTATATGCATAAAATGTTTCTATATACAATTTTACGCAGGTGTCTAGTTACGCATTACAGAAAAATTATCGTATTAGCATTATCAATCTATTTAAGAATGTAAACGCTTACAGATTTCAAGGTAATTTCATCTTTCAATTTAGATTTTATAATAATGTGATTTTTCTGCTTGCGTGATTTTCTTTGACAAGGATTAGAATTTTAAGAAATTTTTGTTTAATTGTGTAAACATTATATCTGTATAAAACTACCATTTGTTGCTGTTCTGACTGTAATTAAATTTGAAATAATTATATGAAAATTATACTCGTCATTTTTATTGTCTCAATTAAAATTATGATTATGTATGTAATTAATACATTTAAATACATAACTAGCATAATGAAATTTGCAATAAGTAGCCTTTAAGTATTTAGAACTTGAAATTTTTTCAGGTCTTTTCGAATTTCTTAGCTGATATGCAACTCCTTAATTCATCAGTTTTGCAGTATATGTGTTTATGAATTTGCCATCAGTTGTTTGCAATTTCTGCTATTTTCTTGTTTGATACAGAAATTTATATAAATTATTGTTTTTCATTTTATAAAGGTTATCGAGTTTGGCTCGCTTTGGTAACATAAACTAGTTTCAAATTTCTAAAAGACGTAAAGCGAATTATCACTGTGTCTGGGGTCAAGTCTTGTCTGAAGTTGATACAAAGTCTTGGAACAAAGGTTTTAGAAGAACGTTTTTATTTGAACACAAACTTTGAGCATAAATGCATTTCTTGTTCTTACACCACCAACCAGCACTTCTGGCGCTGCAACTAAAATAACAGTCAAATTCAAATTTAAGGTATGACTAGTAGTCAAAGACTACACAATTATATCTGAATCTAAGCTGGCTCAGAAAACTTTAACCGGTGTATCAGTCTAAATATCAGTAACAACTAACGCAAAGCAGAAGAATTAAAAACTTATCAGAGCTGACTGAACTAAAGTAACACGGCCTCGAGAAACATGCACACGCTCTGTCTTACAATCCAAAACCTTCAGCGTAAATACTTTCTAACTCATTTACATTTCTAGGGAGGAAACGGAGAGGAAAAGTTATAGTAAAGGCTGAAATTATAAATAACTGGTTAGTTTCAAATAATAACCCTTACAAGGTCAAATAAAAGTTATTAGTTTATTTCTTGTTGTTCATAATTATTACGGTTTAAAAAGTTGCACCTTGTTTCCGCTATCCAATTTTAAATATGAATCTCACCCAGCGGTGAAATGGAAAGGACACAATTAGTGTCTTAAAATACTTTCTGTACCATGTTATTTTTTTTAAAGTTAAATTATTCTTTGCCTTACAGATTATTTAAGAGCTTCTAAATTCTAAATCTTGTTAAGTAATAGTAATTTTCCTATTATTTGACGTCCAAAATTACTCTCTTTCTCTTCCAGGGACCGGTGGGAGTTCGCGGTGATCATGGACCGCCTGGAGCTGACGGAAAAAATGGCGCTATGGTCTGTAGCAGCTGTTAAGTAACAGCTACCTATTGCTATTATTATTATTCTTTTAAAAATCAATATCAGAATACTTTCTATAAAATTTATTCTGAATTTCTCATTTAGAATAAGTTGCATTTAGTTTCTTTATTTATGCATCTGTTCTGTGCAAAATTGAATGAATTTTTGTTGTGCTTGAATAAGTGATGCTTAGCATTTCTGCATGATTTACTAATTTTCAAAATATCTACGTTTTTCATTAGAATCATTGCATCAATATCATACTTTTCTAAAAGGAAGATATTTTAGTGGAACATTCAATTTGTTTTAAAATATGTGTGATGAAATATTTTACACATGATAATGATATCTGGAGAGAGATTGCATTAATTTGGCTGAACATTCCAAAATACTTTATATAAAGGATTTCTTATATCGTTAATTTTCTTTCATATTTTTCACATTTTTGAGTAAGGTCGTAAAACGTTTCTCGTGTACCTTAAAGAAATTCAAATCATACACTGTAATAAACCTAAAACATTTTTTCTAGTTTAAGAGATCTGAACTGTCAATATCACTCTATCGGTAGAAGCGCCTTACTTTATGAGTGTAAATGGCGCAATTGGATTTAGGAGTTTAAGAGATCCAAAATGGTATAGAAATTCCAGAGAAGTTGCATTAGGGCTAAATTTGTTAGGAAACGTAGAAACGTCTAACTGTGAAAGTGCGATAAATAGTCTTCCACTTACAACGAATGTCGTTCCAAAGATCACGTCTGGCGTAAGTCAGACGTAATGTGGCATAAGTCAGGAGCTTATTTAATTTTGATAGCTTTCATAATATTTTTAGTCCAAAGGGGCAACTTGCTCAGAGGGACTCTTAATTTCGTTTTGACATTTTGCGTTGATTCACTACAAGCGTTGTTTCACTTTTCAAATTGTTGCTACCAAATAATATCCCCCTGTGTTATATTTAAAGAAATTAAGTAATGAAGAGTCTGCATAAATGTACGTATGTTTCTCGCATTGTGATAAAATAACGATACCTAGAAACATCCAATTTTGAATAACGTAATCCTCCTGCGAATATGGGCATCTGGAAGCCCAAATTTGAAATTTGGAATTTGTTTTATTATCGATTTCATATTTGGTAAAACTTTCACGAATTTTTGATTAACAAACTCGAGGATTTCAAAGCGAATGGCAACGTTGTACAGAAATTTTTTTTTTATCTCCAGCACGCGAGACTGTGTATCGGAAATTCTAAAGGTATGCTCATTTTAAAATTATTTTGCGATATTGCTCTTGAACTGAATTTTATGGTTTAAGTAAGTTCGAAGAAGATGATATTTAATAAATAAAGAAAATGTTAAAGAAACGCCCCATTGGACGCAATTTAAAATCTGAAACCTTTCAGATTTTATTTAATAAATTAGGCTTTTATTTAACACAAAATAAATGTAAGAACGAATAGGCATAATAAACACTTTATTTGTGGAAATATACATACGTATTATATGTATACATAAATAAGAAATCACTGCACTTACCTGGCATGCCTTCGTGATGTAAATGTTAGATATGTCGCTAGCAATGTGTGGATGTGTTATCTATATTTTCGGGTAGCCTCTAGGAACTTCAGATAATCTTTCTGCAGCAAATTTTTTAACGGTTTATGTTCTTGAACATTCTCCTTATTCCTTTTTGCATGTTACAACTATTTTTTATATTTGTACCATGTTACAAGTAGTTTTTACTATTAGATAAATTTCACTTTGAAAAGTTATCAAAACTTCATCATTCAATTTCCCTTCTTCATGTTTCATTAATTGTTCTACAGATTCCGTATTGATGCTGGATTTTTTTCAGAGTACCTGCTATTTCAACCCCTTCTTCGCCAATTTGCTCTACAGCATCATGCTCATATATGTTTTCGGCGTTTCTACCGCAGCAACGTTTTCCAAATTCCTCTCATGCATTTTTCGTAGACTCCTAACCATGGAGTTCCATTCTACGTATATTGACCATTATCACTTTCTTTCTAAAAAATCGTCTTATGTTACAATATCATTGCCAGTTTCTCTTAATGCATGAGGAAATGTAGTTCTCAAATAATAGGATTTAAATCTAACAATTGAACCTTGATACATAGGTTGAATCATAGGTTCTGTATTGAATGATAGATATATCATATTTATCCGATCGATGTATATGTGATACTTAAATTTTCGTAACTCACGTAAAAAAGTGGTAATGAAAACTGTAAGCTCCCGTATAATGAGGAAATATTTAATACTATTAAAACTTGCTATACATGTTTCATTTATTAGTTGTTGAAGAATAAATTTCGTATATTTTTATTTCATTTATATTTATTAAAGAGCTTTGCTTGTAAGTCGAAATCTAATTATTGTTAGTTTACAATTTGTGTCTAATTTTAATTTTCTATTTAATTTCATTTAACATGATTTTTGTTTATTTTGCAGGCAGGATAACTCACTGCGGCTTCCGGAGTTTGACTGCCTCTCATTAGACACACAAACATGCATATTACATCATACATTACATGCACAAAAACATACTAATAATTTGTGTTCTTAAATTATTTGAATATTTTATATCCATTCATTGCATATTTTATTTTTACTTTTATTACAGGGTCCCCCTGGGTTGGATGGAATGAAGGTAAATAAATTATTATATTTATAGTTTTTCGTTTTCTTTCCTGTCTAAAGTATTTCGTTTTATAAATGTGGATTATTTTGTATAAAGATATAAGACAAGTACAGATTTTCAAAAGAAAATACAGTAGACCCCGACCGATGAACTGAAGTAATACCGGGCACGATAGCCACGGTTAATCCAAGATCATGGTTAGCCCGATGGCAGTAAAATTCAGAGCAAGGGGGGTTAAAATGCTTTTGTTTATTTTTCGCTTGTATTTTGATAATGCTCAATGGAAAACACAAGAGTAATAAGTATACACGTAATTTGTTTTTACGATTAATCAATTTATTTTAGTGGCAGATTTAACAGTATATATTATAGTCTAGATTATGTACAATAAAATTTGCACTGTTGCAGATAACAAAAGTTACTAAATGCTGTGAGTTATCGCTACGACTGAAATAGTATGGCAAGAATGTGAGAAGATTCTTTTAAATAACCTTTTCATTTAATCTGAACCTTTAAACATGAAATGCACCACTACAGACAAATCACCCCACGTGACAATGTGAATTAATCAATAGCTATCAAACAAATCTAAGCATTGATTAAGCAGTCTAAGATACACGATCAAATGATTAAGCTGGCTAAAATAATTTTAACGACGCGTAAATTCAAAGTTTCGGCTGCGAGAAATTGCAAAAGCCGGAATAATCACATTTAGACAGAGCTGGCGAAATTCTAACAGCGCGGCGCAAGTGCCAGAAAATCTCTATTTCTCTCTCTCTTTCACATTGAAAACTCTCGGCTCATGTACTCTAAAAGCATGTAACTCACAACCAGCGTTTAACTTTAATCCCAAAAGAGAAGTTTTGACTCTTATAATGCTTGCTTTAGTGGTCAAAACAAGATAAGCAAGCCTATCTTCTTTTGGGACTTGTCTGATTTAAATTTTCACGTGTTACGACTTTTCCCTTTTGCTTTCGTTTTTCATTGTAAAGGTTATTTTTGATATGTATGCAAGTTTTTGTTAAATAATAATTAGGTTTATATATATATATGTGTGTGTATAAAGGAAAATTTGACTGTGACATGCGCCCAGGAAAAACCAACATCTGTTACATACAGAATGTTCTTTTTTAAGGAAAACGATTTTCCTTAATCAGTTCACTCGAAATCAGATTTTTTTCTAAGTTTTACTATCCCAAAAACTTCGTTAGAAAAGCTAATATGAGAATTCTGTTGAATATTTTACACAAATATTTATTTTTATCGTCATTCTGTATATTTAACTTCCAATAATTAATTTTTATACACTCATTTTTTTTATTTCATGCGCATAGTAATTATGAAGGAAGAGACTAGCATAAAAAAGAAAAGAAATGGATGGGAAATTAAGAGTGCTAGAACTGTTGTTAAAAGTTATTTAGTCTACCAAAGTTTTTGCTTCATAAAAAGAATTAATTTTATCAGAAAAAGAAAGAGAAATAATTAAAGAAATATTAGTTTAAAAATATTAACATTATGATGATATATTTCAAGCTTTAAATACTTGCAAGAAAATGAAAGGAAAAACCATTTTTGTGTGTTTAAGTACTTTGAAATGTATTTTTGAACACCATCCTCGTCTTATAAACACTATACAGCATTTAAGTATAACATTCAGATTATGCATGCCATATCCCATAGTTATATGTTCATAGAAAGTATAGCAATTTTATATCTAGTTATTATATTTATATTATTTATTTATGAATTGATATATTTTACGGAGCACCTTCACATCAGATTTATTAGTGAAGTTCATGTGGGCAAATTCTTCTTTTTGTTTAATAACACCTTCAGATATGTAGGGTAATCTTACGTATGAAGCTCTCGAAAGTCAAGCCTATACGAAACTTATTGCAAAGCAGGTAGTCTTAAAATGCAACAGATAGTTTATGGATAAGAACAACTAAAGTGCAGTTAAAATCGTAGAATCCAAAAGTACTGAAAATGTTTCGTGTCATAAGTGAAGCAAAATTATTATAATTGTTTCTTGAATTGTACTTAAAAATATAATAATTATTTATATAAATATTTCCCATGTGAGCTGAATTAAAATAGCACGCCAACTAACGATTATTGGATGTCTAAATAACTTGAGTGTTTTCATTATACCTACGCTAAATATAAGGTTGTTTTTTACGATTTTGATTATTGGATGTGTTAAGATAACAAAAATCAACACAATATTTGTAAATTTGAAGGATTAATATCGAAGGTTTAAACAACCTTCTTCTTCGGCTACACAAGAGCAACCAATATCCGCCATATGTTAATTATAATAAACTTTAAATGTATATACGCCCTTATAGCATATTAAGTAAAAGTTTTTCAGTTTTTAGGCTTACCTGTTATTGGGAATGCTTTTCTTAAATAAAGTAAAATAAAAAATAGGAAAACGTGTGAGAAGTAAGATATTCTGGCACGTGGCGCAAAGGCGACAGTGGAGTAGTAAAGATTGAAAACGCTGTTCCGAGCGATTTTTTTACAACTATCAGGGTTTCAGCATTTTTATTTTAAAACACTGCATATCAGTAATTGCAAATTCCTAGAGCAAAGCTGTTTTAAACAACTGAGTTCTTTTCCTCTTAGGGTGAACGGGGTGAACCAGGTAACAAAGGTGAAAAGGGGGAACCTGGACTTCCGGTAAGCCAGCAGAATTTTTTTTTTTTTTTTTTTTTTTTTTTTTTTTACATTCTTGTGAAAAAGAAAACATGTTTATTTTGAAGCATGTATTGTGAAGCAAATTATTTTTTCTGTGTGGTCTTTTAGTCTTTTATTCTTATTTACTTTAATATACGGTTATCATCTTTTTCACTATAACAGAGAAGAGAAATTTACTAGATAAAGCAGACTTTAAAGATAAAAAATATATTAAGCAATTTTATACGCATAAATTAAGAAATTCATGCTTAGTGTTATTCTTGTTTCTTGTTGAAAATAATTAAAGATAAGCATAAAAATAACTGACTACTTTTGTTTTGCAGAAGAAAGAGAAATAACAAACAAGGAAATTTATTCCTGTACCCGCGGACAATTCGCATTTAATCAAGTGTTCTAGAATTTATTTTTAACATGGTACAGAGTTTGACCTTCTTTGGGAGCCTAAACTAGTGTATCAAATACCTTATAGACGTTAGGTGAATGATTGCTGTGTCTGGACAGAACTGCAGAGTTCTTGAGAAGGTTTTATAACAAACCTGTTATTAAAACAGAATTGGAACATAAATGTACCTCTCGGGCTTGAAAAGATCAACCACCACGTGTGGCGATGTAACTTAAAACGACAATCAGGTTAAAATTAAAACTCAACCTGGTAATCTACTACTAGACTACATAATATAAAACAAAGTTGTCTCAGAACTTCTCACCGGCGTAACTATTGAAATGGCGACAGCTATAATGCAAAGCGTAATAATTACAATATTAATCAGAGCTGGCAAAAATGCCTTACAATCCAAAACCCGCGACTTAATACTCTGTAATTAATTTACATTTCTGGTAAGGAAATGGAAATGTAAAAGTGATAGTAAAAGCTGAAATTATAAATGACCGGTTAATGCAAAGTAATAGTAACCGTAATATATAGCTCAAAAGATAAACAGTGACGAGGAATTAAAGTTCAACTCAAAAACTATTTTCCAATGTTCTTGACTTTCCTGTCAATTACTTATTCAAATTTAGGAATAAATTAATATTAGATTAAAAATCCATTCCATTAATTGTTTATAGGAAACGTAATAATTTGAATTGAACATTTTAATTAATTATTGTGAAAATAAATATTTGAAACTGCAGTTAAATTAAAACTCAAATATTATAACTTTTCTCTTTGCTAGTTTTCTATAATCTTAACTTCTGACGAAGCTAGAAGCTAGAACGGTGGCACTTGCAAAAACAAGCAACATGAGTCACTGGAGCTAGGGCCTCCAAATCATTTCTCAGCCTTATAACGAACGTAAATGCAAATTTGTTGAATGCCTCCAACAGTAAAACTAAAGCACTGACTTAAAAAAAAAACTAATTTGCTTTGATTCTATAAGTATTTAAGCTTTTTACAGCATAATTGCATTGCCGGAAATAAATCTGAAGGGCTTTCCAACAAAACTTTTTATTAACATGCATATTATTTTCATTTTAAATGAAGAACAAGGATTTCTTTACTGCGAAATTGACTTTTTGTTTTTTATTTTATTTTTTTTTTTTTTTATTTTTTATTTTTTTTTTTTTTTTTTTTTTTTTTTGTTTTTGTTTTTTTTTTCTGTCATTAAATTTATTTATTTACATTATTCCTTTTTTATTTTGCTCTTTTTCATTCCAATCTTTTGTTTGTGAAATAGGGAACTGATGGCATACCTGGATTACCGGTAAATGATCCTTTATTATTGATTTATGTTCAATTTATTCAAAAATTATTTTATGTTTGTACCATAATCATTTTTAGAAATAACACCTAAGCAATGTATCATTAACAATTCATCATTCTATCATAATACTGAATTTAACAAATAAATTTATTTGTTAAATTCAGTATTGTGTGCTGTAAAAAATAGTGTCTCGGTTTATCGAGTTTGTTTTACTTGCTGTATTTAGTAATAACAGCTCTTGCAAGTACCGAAAAATATACACACTAAATCAAGGCGATATTTAAAAAACATCAATGACTATTAATGACTGTCACAAAAATCCGCTGCAAACAATGTGTCATTAATATTTGCGTATTACTTAATTTCATCTGCATTGAGTAATTTTACAGCTTAATCCCTATTTTCAATTCATTGCCATGATTTTGATTAATGCTTTTTACTCTCTGGTTTCAGTATTTTAACTAGCATATAGGCTTTTTTATTTAGCCAATTATGACAAAGCAACAAGAGCTGTCTGCTTAAGAGTAAAGACGCCTTCCTGAAGCACTTTCTAACAAAAACTGGTTCGTATTTACGTTACATTAACATAAAAGACCAGAATAATAGTTACGTAAACAAAATAGAATTTCTTATGTAGCCAGTCATCTGCCGGAATTTGAACTAACGCTGAAATACTACTTTTCAGCTATCCACTGGGTGAATAAAAATATAGGAATTTTATATCTAAGCATAAATATTTATTGCGAGCTACGCAACAATTATGCACTTTTCAGTGTTTCTACCCAGTCAATATATAGCAGTTAGTGACAATGAACCGCTGAGTTGCCTCCCAACTTAGGTATACCTGAAATAACCATACGGAATTGTTTAACAACCCAGCCTGAGTTAACCACTAAACTACCAAGCCACAACCCTGGTCCGCCGTGGCAGAACAAAACGGCTATTATTGAATATAAGAAGAAATACATGCTTTATAGCGAATAGTACTGAGCATAAAACATGTCTTTCCAGAGAAAATTATGTATGTAATAAATGTAATTACAATAAATTTGCAACAGTTTGTTATGAGTGCGTATCATTGCCTAAGTGCAATATTAAGTTAAATATAATCTATGCACTGAAATCCTATCTGAAACAAACCCTTACACCTTTATTCAATAAAAGATTAATCATTGCTATTTACATCTTAAATTTATATAACACTGCAAAAATTCAAAATATATATACACTAAGACATAAACACACATATATATATTTATATGTGCATACATTATATCCTATTATGACAATTTAAGTTTACCAGAGGCATATTAATACTAGACTTAACTTTGCTATAGTGGTTAGTAACGCTGAGGGCCGTACCAGTGGGCCCTGAGTTCGTATCCCGGAGAAAGCATGGGTATTTGTAAGCGTATACTATGTGTGCGGCAAGGGGGCACTCAAAATACATGCAAGCTGTAAGTCCTCTCGAGAGACTAGTGGCAGGAGAAGAAAAATGGGAAATACTTGGACTGGCCTCTGGGGCGTTATTTCTCAGCATTGGGGTGGACTATCACTGTACGGTCACAGTTAATGCGGCGGGACTATCACTGCACGACCAATGGTAAATTTCTGTTGCCCTTCCCATTTTCCACCTGTATCTTTTACAGTATGTAATTATGTAAAATAGACAGCAAAGAGAATTAAATACTCATCTTTATAGATTTTGTAATTCCCATTCTCGAGTGTTTAAATTTGTTTTAGGTATAAAAACAAGTGGAACGTAAAAGTTTCTATTTTCCTTCTTTGAATGGTTTAACTTTCTTGGATAATCATAAAATGATATAATTTTGATTTTCACAATTACTTTTAAGAGATAAATCAAATAATCTTTATTTTTCTATCTTTCAATAGCAACTGTTAAACTATAAAGTTTACTTTTTATCATTTTTTAGCAAAAAATGTATTTTAATTTAAAACAAAATAATATGCTACACTAGTCTTTGTTTAGAATTCATTTATGTAAAATCTTAAGAATGTAAAATGTTAAGTTTTCAAAGAAATTAAATATAAATTTATAGCTGGCTTCATTGATTTTATGTTTTGTCCCAGAATATTGAACACAAAAGTCCCAGCAGACGGTACTGACTGTTTCCGTTATTTTTTCATGTGTGATAAGAATATGAACAAGTTTCTGTTAGAAAGCCTTCCACGAAGGCATCCTAATTAGTAGATGAACCTAGCGTGCTTGAGTTAATTTAGTCAAACAACCAACCGAAAATTAAAAAAATTGAAAAGAAATCATACCTAATAATTACATAATCTTCAAATAAATAGCGCTAATAATCAGAAATTAATTTTTATTTAAAGTAAATGTAATTCTTACGATTAATAAAGAATATGAAATTCGACATGCATTATAGTATGTTGAAATGCAGAAAAATTAACGAAAAGGTTTGTAAATATCAAGAAGCAATGGATTAGAGATAACATTTTGTAAAAGTGTGAAAAATCCAAGTCATCAGCTGGAAGACTTTTTCCACTGATTCTGAGCTTTAAGGGAAATTTAAATATTACTAATTCAGAGTTAAAACCTGATATTTTGAACAATATACAAATATTTAGAATATTTTATAATCCAATGTAAATATTAATAACGAAGTGCTCACAATAGTTGTCCCAACAACTCTTGGGAGAGTATAATTCGTGTAATTTTAATATTTATAGTTGGCCTCAGTTAACCAAAAGCTAACTGAGGCTTCTATATGGGTACCATAATGTGTTTCCTAACACTGTAGGGCTTTAGGACTTCTATTATTATCATTTTCGCTAATTTTTTTTCTATTGCAGGCAAAGAAAATGTGGCTTTTATTTTAAAATAACTGGACATAAGTTAAACAAAATATTTGCTCAATGTAGCCTACAATGTATTCACTTCATGCACTGATATAATTAATGAATGAAAGATATTAAGGGGATTTCATTATAAAGATAGAATGTGTTATATAAAATATCAGTATCAGTATCTTGCCCGCAGCAGACTAGAAGGACTACGCTAGTCCTCTAACATTTTAGATAAAACACTGTCAAGTATATTTCTACCTAACATTCAAAATATTAAAAAAAAAGATGATTTTATCTTTTTTTGACAAGTGTGCCGGTTCGAGTGTGATCGAATATTCGGGCAAATAGTGCTCTCATCTTAAACTTTGCCTGTATTCGATTCAACTTTTTAGTGGATATTTTAGTTTGTGTTTATGAAAGTCTTCTTGGAACACGTGAAAGAATCCTACGTAAAATATACTGACGCAATAATTCCGAGTTTAAACTTTTGAAGAGGAAATAGTAAAAACCGTGTACCCTACAAAAGATTTTATGGAGCAAATGCAAGCAAGCTATGAAGCCGCTTTATGATAACGCGCTGATCAGCTGTCAGCATCACAATCATATTGCCTCAATAGCCAGTCTATCGTATTCTTTAGGGCAATATATTTTCAAAAGAAATAAGAAATAATCACATAAGATAGATCTACCTCATTAGCTTTCATTTGTGCAAACACGAGACATTATATCTGTCATTCTAAATAAGAATATAATTACAATTTCAAATGATTAATGATATTCAAATTGAGAAGAGTGTTTGTTCATAGTTTTATGTTTTTATACATATAATTTTTTAATTAATTATTTTTATAACGTCCATCAGATTAAAAAATTATTTATTTATTCCGACATTGATCGTATTGATTCCCCTCCTCATTTGATTTTCAAAAATTTATTAGAACATATTACACATTATTGTGCAAGATCTATCTCTACTTTTCCACATCCACTAATTTAGATCCTACACTGAACCTGGCGAATTCTCGCACAGGCGTGAAATAAATAACAGCACAGAAGAAGAGTACAAAATAACCCTTTATTAACTCAAATAACAGACATCACGGGCTTCGTGCGTTACAAAAACACCGTTCACTTGCGGCGATAACTTAAACGTAGACGAGAATACAAAATCAAATCTGAATAATAAGTGAGTGCAAGAACGCACTTCAAAATTACTCCTACGAGATGGACTCACAGAAATCTAACCGGCGTGATACTAAACTGATGAGGCCTAAGGGCTTACTTCGAGTGACCGCGAAATAACAACGAAACGTGCGCTAGGCTAGCGAAACACGCTCTGAATAAACTGAGATAATCACACGTTTAAATAGCACTTCACTGGCGAGAGAATGTGAGGGGAAGTTGAGAAGTTGAGAACAGGAAAATTTAAAATAAATTTGTTATGCAAATTAAGAAAAACCCTACAATTATACATACTGCAAATAATATAAAGTGTATTCATATTCAAAATACTATGTTATGGAACCACTTCTCTAAGGCAACCAACCACCTTTGAAAGTTACCAATACTTCTACGAGCGTAAATAAACATTCGTACTGAAACTCCTCTCTTTAAGATGACCTCTTCAGTTTAGAACCAAAATCTAGAACCGTGATTGGTCGTCTTCAAAATACAGTTTTTCTTCATACTTAGTTCAATTTTAGAAAGCCGTGGCACTTCACTGCATCAATTTCTGTTTTATTATCATAATTATGATTAGGATTATCATTATTTAAAATATTCTGAAATGTTTTGACTTTTATAGGGTCCTAAAGGTGACAAAGGTGACGGCGGGCCTCCAGTGAGTAAATGAAATAATACATATATATTTTAATCTTTCTGATTTAAGATGTGTAAATATGAAAGAAAATAAAGTATAAAATGTCACTGCAGAAATTTTTCTATCATATTTCCAATATTTTGTGAGCATGCAATGATTATGTGCTTGACTGTTTGCACTGCGCACTATGCATGTTTCGTGCGTGTGCACTAACACTTGCACTAATGTATTCTATAAACAGAGTGAGTGTGTGTTATGTAAATCGTGTTTTGTAATCCAGAAAATTACATCATTCAGTTATGATTCTGAAATGCATTTTTATATTAAATGACAATATGTTAAGAGTTTTTTTCTCTTTTTTAAAAGATATTGATTGTCAAATAAATTGTTTTTAAAAATATGAGCTTAGTATGTAGCTAAACATTATTATTAAAGTGTCTTTGAAGTGGTTTTTAGAGAACTGTAATGGGCTGTCGATGTTATCTAATAGTGTCATTCATATTATTTACATTAATACTTGAAAATTCGCTTTGTAATTCAAAATAATTATTTGAAAGGGATTCAATCAAAAAGTAACTTCTACATTACTTTTACCTTGAATGTGTTTGGGGTGATCAGAGCAATTTTTGCTGCGGTCTGTTCATGAAGAAAATTTTGTTATATATTGTTACGTAAAGAACGGCTCTATTTGTGTTTATACTGATTCAAATGCAAAATCACTGCTTTTATGTTTTCAGAAAAATCCTTTTAAATAAATGCAAGGAATTTAAAAACAATAATCAGAATCTTAAATCTCTAAACTAATAAAGCAAAATTTAATATGTCTTTTATTTTTTATTCTAATTAGTAGAATTCTGTTTACACAGGAAAGTTTACATACTTATTATATTATTTCATGTGCATAGTAATCTACGAGTATTCTATACCTTTTGTGTAATTTTGAACATTTCATGTGCATTATATTCTTATTGGAATAGAATCTGTTTTTCCCAAGAACATAGATTTTCTTCCCTCTAATAAAGAAGGACTTAATAAATCTTGTGATGCTGACTCGTCTGAGAAGATATCTTAGCACAATCAGCTGTTACAAAGCATCCAAATTCTGTATATTTCGAATAACTTCCATTTTATCCTATAATAGGTTAAACATGTAATGAATGTGAAGAATAGCAAAAACTAAATTGTTTTCGTGAGTTATTTACTTTTAATGTTTCAATTGCTATTTTAATAAGCTGTAATTGTCTCATTTCTTGCACATTTTACATCTATAGAAGAATATTTAAGTGAGAATTCGTAAAGCATCATTAATATTTATCATGTTCTTACATCAAAGATGCTGAGCGTCATTTGACCGTAATCAATCATGCTTAATAGCAACTAATCTTATAACAAATATTTCTATTATTATGCTTTTATATGACCATTCCATAATTGAGTGACAGTACTCTATCAAATTAAACGCTGACGAAAGACATTGAGAAATAGTTGTTAGTGGATGTATGTGATTCTAGTAGAAATTCGTATTTATTTTAGTTTCAGTTGATAATAACACAGTTTCATTTCATATTCAGTGCATTACAATTTCAGCTAAGAACTTTATTTTGACGAATGCTCATTACAAGTCGCTACTATAAAAATTAATAAAATATTTTAATTAAAAATCTTAAAAACGGTTTCCTTCAGCTAACTAAATCCTTCAACTAGAGACATTTGCATCTGATTAGTTAAAAAACGGTTTTTTTCTGTAAAATATGAATAAATATCTTTGAATTTTTATGTCGAAGTCCTCTAATGGAAATTTATAATTTTATCAAAAGTATCAGAAATCAGAATTTCTAAGTTTACTTTGCATCCGAGATATTAATGATAACTGAATTAAAATTTCATGTGGACTTTAACTAATAATTTTAAATTATAATGTATGTGTTTTAAAATGCATGGGCAATAATAATGCAGCAATCAAGAGTTACAATTTTTTCAGTATATTAATGCTTTGTAGAACAGAATTATCAATAACTATATCTCAGTCGCATGTTTTTATACCCGGAAGATAGAGTATTTAATCTTAAATATTAAAATGTCTTTAAAACTACAATTCAATGTAATACATGACGTAAAAAATATGAAAAACGCTTAGCTAAAATTAATCTTGACAATCACTATATCAAGACAATATTTTAAGATTAATGGAATTATAGTGACTGAACTTTAAAAATTTTACAAACTCAGATATGAAATACCATGATATTTACTACTTAACAGTTTTTAACATTTTGCTAAAATTTACAGTTGAACCAATAAAATGGAATGAAGCTCCTTCATTTTCGGTCTTCGCTGTTAGAGCATGAAATTTAATTTATGATGTAGTATTTTTAAGCTTGATAAAACAGTAGGGTTGCTTTAATTCCTATTACTGGCAAGTTAAATTTTAAAGTGTGATGTACAATAATTTAACAATATCTATTTCATTTCTAAAACCCTAATGTAGAGAGTATTGCTCACCAGTAGAATTTTAACCAATGCCTTACATGTGACTTAAGTCAGTGGTCTCAAACTGAAATTGCATGCCACCCGAATGCATGATCCGAAAGCAACTAACGGGCCTTTCCTTTTCGTTTTTTTCGTTTTTTTTTTTTTTTTTTTTTTTTTTTTTCAAAATGACAAACTATGTATATATGTTCACGAGCACTATTCTGTGCATGTGAATATATATGTATATATATTTATGATAATTTTATTTAAATGATTTTTATTAACTGTAATAAATTTAGGATACTTAGTAGAGAAGATAACAATTAGTTTTTCATCTTAGCCGAGTTGGTTATAGATTTGACTAGTATACAGAATGAATGCGTAGCAGATGAAGAAACTTGCAGCTATTAGCGTATATAACAAGACTAATTTTATTTCTTGACGAATAATTCTGAGCACACATATTCTTGTTTACACATTAAAGCACCCGACAAATTTTAACCGAGAACCGAAAACCTTTCTCCTAATAAACTGCTATACTGGATAGCTACTCACCTTGCTTCTACATCTGTTGCGCTAAGACGCTGCTACCCTGCTTTCTTCCTATCGCAACAATATCAAAAATGTAAACATTCTATGAATAAGCATGATTAAAGTGCCTGAGGAATTGTGGCCACAAATGACAATTCAACTAAAAGTGAATATTTAGTCTGTCTTCCCTGCCAAGTTTGATCTTTATTATGGATCAACATTTGTGCAAATCTACTTTTGTATATTATTGCATAGAGAGAGAGATACAGGTAGATAGATTGGTACTGAACCGTATATACCCCTAATATATGGATATCACCCCTTTATAACCTGATGCTATGTGTGAGGCCTGTGCGTTGTATGTGAGTTTATATGTTTGAAAATTATACTTTTAAAAAACTAATTTGCCTCGAACATGGTTCATTTGAAATTTTATTTCAATGATGTTCAATTGTAATTTTACTTTGTTTTTTCCACACTTATCTTTTATGTCTCAAACTTATATTTCTATCCCTGGCTAAATTTATGATTCTTTTTCTATTTACTTTAGGTGCCTAATTCCTTACAAATATTTATCAAAACATAATAAATGTTAATAATAATAACGAAACGTAAAATATTTAAATTTATATTTACTTTCTAAGCATTATTTATATTGTCTACCTATATTTATTTCCTTCTGAAATCTAAATTTTGATACCTGCAAGAAATTTCTTTTGTTTACACTACCCAGTTTAAACTTATTGATAGGTAAATGGTAAATCTTCAGTCTAACAATTATTTCAAATAGCTCTAATATGTTGAATTAAATATTATATACCTTAGTTAAACTGAAAATAAACAAATTTTTTAAGTTTATAATTTTTATATTTTTTAAGTTAATAAGTTTTCCCTGTTTATAGAGAAAACTTTCAATGTTGGACCAAACGTGATAATAAATACTAATAATACTTTTTCTTTTATTTATTAAATTTTTCTTCCACACGTGCAGGAAAAAATACATACGTAAACATATAAACGATTATAAATTCTTTATTTCTTAATAGTACTACTTTACATTTGATGGCATTTTGATTCTGATAAGATTTGTAGCCTTAAAGAAAAATTATTAGAAATTATCTTCTTCGATTGTGGATGCACATCGGCCGAAAGGGTCCTTTTTTCCTGACTTAATAGTTTTCAAATGCAAGTACGAATAAAAATCAATCAAATATATATCTTCGAATCTTTGAAAGAGATTTTTATCACACTGGTAAATTAATTAGCTTCATTTGTAGGTTTTCTGGTGCGTTATTCACGTTTGTTTTGATGATAATGAAAGTAATATAAAATTGAACGAAAAGTCATTTCAGTCAGTACATCTTTCTTCAAATTCTTGTTGTAATAATGCTATTTTTCTTATACATTTTTTAGATTTTTCATTTCAAATAACAGGGTAGGATTTAAGTTTTAGGAAATGTACAAAGTATTTTGATTCAAACCGAGTTTCTCGTAACTGCAATTTAGCTTTAAGATGTTTGGTTCAAGCATACATGTCAATGACAGATTTATTCTTTCCGCGCAGTTTCTTCATTGAGAATATTTAAATGTCTAGTTAAGTCAACAAAAAAATGTTAAATCTGTTATGCATGTATGATTACATAGCTTTTCGATGATTTTATTTATTTAATTAGTTTTGTGTCATAAAAATTTTCATTTCATTCATTAAATCAAAAAGCTGTTTCAGTACAGTTCCTTGACATAATTACCTCACCTTGCTATATTCAAATTCACTTTCTTCAGACAATGCAACAAACTGGATGATTCAAAGCTAGTCAGCGGATAAAGCTTACTGTTTTATTTATTATTTCAATAACCTTATTTATTTGAAAACTTTTGGCACTGTACGATAAATACACAACTAAACGGTATTCGCGGGTTACGTGAAATTGCTTCAAGGGCCGCCACTTTGAGACCACTGATTTATGTTACAGTAATTATAATAATCATCTCCACACAAAGTAGCCAAAACTTAAATAATCTTTTAATTACAAGTGGGTGTAGAACGTAAACAAAAGCGACTTTACGCAATTACGGTAGCACTGTGTAATATTACCAATAAAATGAAACTATGGAAATCTCAGTGTTGAATCTCAATGGCTTTGAAAGATTGTTCAATGTGTACTTAATAAGCGTATTCTATTCTATCATGAAAAAGGTATAATTTAACGGGATATATGTGTATTACAAATCGATGTAGAAGTAGAATTAGATTCAATTGTTGACATTAAGTGCCTGGACCTCGGAAGAAGGAGGTGGATACATTTGGAGTAAGATGTGACCTGCCTTTTTTAGGGGCCACGAGGAAAACTCGGAAAGCGAGGTGAGAAGGGCGACAAAGGCGACCAGGTGCGCACCTTCCTCACTTTACCTAACTTTACTTTTTTAAGACTTAATTGTTGATACTCTCTAAAATGCTGATTGTTTCAGTTACACTACGCCTGTTAGTATTACTGACAACTATCAATACGAATCTTAAAAACAAAAACAAAAAAAAAAGGAAAGAAAATCAGTCTTATCTTAAGTAAAATATGTTACAGATTTCTATTTTTAACACCAGAAGGGTTAAAAATCCCATCTCAACGCAATTTTTTTGTCATAGCATTTCATATAAAAAGCAGTTATATATAGTATTTCTAGGGTTATGTCCCTATCGCTGTTTAATTAATTGAGTAAGTAAACTTCATATTTTTTATTTAATAAAACTGAAATTCCGTTATATTAGAAACATTTTCTAAACAGTGCATGCCAGAATTTAAAGTAATTTACGCAGTTCTTTAATTATGATTTGTTTCAGTTTATTATTTAAATACTAAGCTTCATTTTCATACTTTACAATGCTAATAAATTATATTTTAAATTGGGAGTAAGGATTTGACTTTTAAGTTGACAGCTTACTTTTTCTTTTCGCAATGTATCAGTATTAATTCTCTCTTTAGAAACGGAATTGCGGTTCTGTCACTTTCATTAGAAAACTATTATTGCAATGCATGAAAAATGTCTTAGAGGAATTCATTGAACTGATAAGTTTTTCTGTGTAATTTGTTGGTTCATTATTACTGTAGAATGAATTGACTTGTGATTATATTTAAAATGTATTTCACGAGAATTAATTTCCTACAGTGAAAACGAAGCATTTATTTTTTCTTCTCCTAAGAAAGGTGGAGAAAATGTAATCATGGGAATCATTTTTAATTGTATTAAAAGCTTTAATACTCTTCTGGTGTAAATAATTATTCAATTTTATTGATAATGCATATATACACATAAGATTATATATATATACACTTACATATGTAAGGCCAATGATGATAAATCGATTTCTGTCTTTTTTATTCAGTGTGTGATGCACTCTCCACTGAATAGTAACGTGACACTTGCGTAAATAAAAAGAAGTATAAATAAAAAAACAAGGCATTTTAAAGGAATCGGTTCGATTTCATTATACAATGCAATTCAATTTCTTTACAATGCATTTCGATTTCATTACGCAGTGCAAGTAAACAGATACGAATCTCACGTTTTAGAGAGTAACACTTTTTGAATGTAAAGTATTATTTGCTGTATATGTAAAGTATTATTTGCTATGTATATTTACCTCAGTTAACTATGTATGTTTACTCACGTTTCTATGAATGTATACTTTGTTGTATTGCTTGTGCACTTTGTTTCTCACTTGCACTTTGCACCTCACTGCATGTTCCTTCGGTGACAGAGTATTGTGAGATTCACTTTGCATCTCTAACTGTGGTACGTGAACTGATGAATCGTGTGAACCTTACGATGCATGCTTTTTATTAAAACCAAAATGAAAATATTCAAATCATCCTTCAAATACGAGTATATTTTGCGAACCATAAGATTTAATTAACGCTTTAAGATATAAAAATTTTATAAATGAAACCACATACTTTCAAATATGGATAGTTTCTGTAATCTAAGAGGGCAAACTTTTAATTTAACTTCATTCTTATAATAATGTCATAAAAATATATAGAATTATTAATATAGATTCTACTTGGGTGTTTAATTATCTATAAAGAACTTCTTGAATTATGAAGGATATTTTAATATCCACTTTATATAGTCCCATAATTGAATATAAATAAATAGCAATAATTTGGGAATTGACATAAAAATGCCAAACAAATGTCGATACTTATTTTAACTTATTTTTAGCATTTTTCTGAGTTAACGAATTTGTTTTCTCCATTTATGTTTCTTACATAATTTTCAATACTTACATATCATTTTAGAATGTTCAATAAAGTCATATTGTTTCAGTGTATTTGAAAAACGGTATGTATTATTATGTGCCACAAATTACCACCGAATATTTTTAAAAATGTAAAATTACAGTCTAATATATTTGTATCTCTTAATGTACTGCTAACGCATACACTTTTCTAAATATTAAGCTGATACTAATTTTTCTACGAATTAATTTGAAAGTTTAATTTCAAAAGGAGATCAAACGATACAAACAGAGTATTTTTACTTAAATCCATCTTCTGATGTTCTTCTTATTAATTGGTTTACTTATAAATTATATTTTAGCTATAAGCAAATTTACCATCAGAATACATTTGAAAGCGATAATTATCTAAAAGTGTAAATTGTAAAGTTTATACTCTGATACATCCTAACTCCAGATGTATTGTAAACTGATATATCTGGAGTTAAAAGAATTGTATGTCAGTTCCAGTATAAATGCCAAAATTCAAACTTTTATGTTAATTTCAATTGAAAACCTACAGTACGTTCTGAAAGGTAAACCAAGGGTCTAGCCTTTTCAGATTTAAATTACACCGTTTAAAATAATTGATTCTACTGCATTAAATGCAGCTGACGTGTAGCGCCATCATTTGAGCAAAACAGATGAAGAAATGAAAAAAATGCCGTCATGAGGTTGAATATTAACAGTTAGGATGACGATCACTAATTAATATTTAGCATTTACTGTTGTTGGTTTTGTTTTTTCATTGAATAAAATCCATGTAAATTCTCTACCTGAAGGTTTTTTTCAATAATTTTAATAAAGATTTAAAAGTCTAATTGAAACAGCAGCATTTAGTTTCTTTCCCCTTTTCTTATGTATATTCGTATTCTTTAATGCGAAATTTTAAATTAAATTAATATTCATTCATTCCTTAATGTAAAATTAATATTCATAATTTAATCTATGTATAAAGTGTATATCGATGTATAAAAATGTAATCTTTAATCAGAATGGTATAAATTTTTTAAATATTTAGACTTTCTATGAGATCATCATGAATTATGAATTTTGTTATTAGAAAAAGATAAAGCGTACAAGTTGGTCACTTTTGTAATTAACAGAAAACGAAAATAGAAGTTTTAAATAAATAAGGATGTTTAAGACAACGATAAAACAAAAAGGAAGTAAAAAGAAGTAAGCAAAAAGAAAAATGTTTATTGTTAGCAACTGCATTCAAATAACCCAGCTGTTCAATAAAAGGAAATTCAACATAATGCAGTTAAATAGCTAACATTAACAAAGCTAAAAGCTCAAAATAGAAAAAGGCCATTCTTATGTTTAACAAAGTGAAAAGCTATATTCTCGTACATGTACAGCAATCATAATTTTCCATTCAAGCATAGTAGTTTTTTTATTGCCTAGGATTCTAGTTTTTTTATTGCCTACTATGCTTGAACTTAAATAGATAAAAGAGATGCTGTTTATTGGATCACTTCAAAAGTAATTTTTTTTCCGTTTTTCACAAGAACTCTCTGTTTAAAAGACCCTGAAAATGTGAAATTGTTCTACTGTTCTGTTAATAATTGCTTTCTAGTGTTAGTAAAATAAAATTTCACTCAGTAATTAAACGGAAGTACGTTTCTGTTTTCGTACAAAGGCAGCGAGGTGCTTTATGAGATACTATCTGATTCTGTTGCTCAAAAAATGTGAAGATGAATAATCCTTTCTTTCAGGGCGTTCCCGGACTGGATGCCCCGTGTCCACTTGGACCTGACGGATTGCCGTTACCAGGGTGCGGATGGAGGCCACCAAGTGGGGTAATGTTTCTTCAATTCCCGATGCATAACTGTGGTTATTTACTTGATGTTTTGGGGAATAAACGTTTTGCTGCGTCCTCCTGTATACACAAAAATAGTAATAATGAGATTATATACTTCCGCTGCGAGTACTAGAGTTTACATGATGAGGTCAAGGTATCGATTCCATTATATAATGTAGGCTTATAGGAATATTTATTGCCAATATTGTGCGTAACCCTACCCTATACGTCAATCTCGACAGCTTGCATGGCCCACAGTGGCTGAGCAGCAAAATCGCTGAACACTGGCTAATCAGCCCGGGGTTCAAATCCTGGTAAAAGAGCTGACTGCACAGGAATTTCAGTGTTTTCCCCGTGTGTTATGCGAATTACCTTATGCTATAATCTAAATAATAACACGTTAGGATCATGAATGTAATGTTTCGCTTAAAGCTTGCCAGAAATTTCAGCAGCTTCAGTCTGAAGATTTTGGAAGTTATTTGATAGTTAAATTCCGATTAATGTTCCTTGAGCCATCCCTGGGTGCTAATGGCAGGAGTGGAGTTATACACTGGTGTGTAAAAATTAAGGACGAGACGGTTTTTTCAATATAACTTTGTACAAAAGCTTTCCAAATCAACACATTTAATACCGTAAGATCCCCAATACGTAAGGACATGAGTAATGTAAGCAACCCTTACTAAAAGAGAAATCAGAGGGATAAAAAGAAGCTTTATTGAAAAAGTAGCATGGAGAGCAATGCGACTGAAGGCCGAAACATCCCTGTGATGGGTGTCCAGCAAGAAACATCCGGTCTTTAATAGGGGATATGATCTCCCCTGACTGCTAGGCAGGTTTCACAGCGTCTGCCGATGCTGAGAATGAGGGTGTCAATGAGTTGTTGAGGCATTGCTGCCCATTCGTCTTGCAGCGCCAATCGAAGCTCCGGAATCGTTACTGGTGGTAAGGTACGAGCTGCCAAGCGTCTGCCTAGAAAATCCCATACATGCTCGATGGGATTGAGATCTGCGGATCGTGCCAGCCAATCCATACGTTCAATATCCTCGCTCTCTAAGAGCTGTTCGGCAGCTACTGTGCGATGACATGGTGCATTGTCGTCCATGAAAAGGAACTGCGGACCCATAGCGCCTCTAAAAAGACGCACATATGGAAGAAGAATCTCGTTACAATAACGGGTCACGTTGACTGAACCTGCGTCGAAGATGTGAAGGTCTGTACGACTACCAAGCATGATGCCTCCCCAAACGAGAACACCGCCACCTCCATACCTGTCCCTTTCAATGATGTTCGAGGGATGATTGCGACTTCCCCGCTCTCTCCAGACGAGTATGCGATGAAAATCGCTACTCAGACTGAATCTGCTCTCATCTCTAAAGAGTACTCGTCCCCATTCATTGTCTCTCCAATTCCGGTGTTCCCGGCACCACAGAGAACGCCTTCTCCGATGCGCAGGCGTTAGAGGTACACACCGTACAGGGCGTCGTGCAAACAGACCACCACCGTGCAGTCTTCTGGCCACGGTAAAACGCGATGTCGGTCGTCCAGTCGCCTGTGTCGTGTGTCTAGCGATTTCTCCCGCTGTCTGCCGCCTGTTTCTTCTGGCCTGTAAGACAATATACCGGTCATCTGCGGGTGTGATTCCTCGTGGACGACCACTACTAAACCCCCGGATAGCTGTTCCTGTAGTTTGAATTGTCTCCAAAGGGTGAAACGATGCTGTGAGCAATTCCGAACTCACACTTGTCACACTACGGCCTTCCTCCAACTTCCCAATGATACGACTCGGGTAAAAGCATCCAGATGTCGTCTAACAGATTGATTATTCGCCATTTCTCGCTGAGGCAGCAACTCGGTGTGATTTTAACTGTTATACGGCGTGCAATCTCTTTGCCAGAAATACTGATCTTACACCGACAACATGCTTTATACTACTCAGACACTCCCCCATTACGTCTACCTGCATATCTGCGCATGTGCTACCGTACATCACCTTACTTAATCTCCTGATTGGTCTTTCTGTCCGCTCTGCCTCTTCGTTCAGCTGATATGCTAATTTTTCGACTTCGTCCTTAATTTTTGCACACTAGTGTAGTATCCTTACGCTGAAAGCCCTGAAAGAAAGTAGGTGTATCTGTCCTAGTGGAAATTCTTTTCTCTGAAGTTTTTTATTGACTTGGTATAAGTAATCAACCTGCATATTTTGATAACCTGCAACAATTAAATTCTTTCAAAACAGATTTAAATGGCTAAGGCTTCCCATTAGAATATTTTCCACAGTATCAATTTTTACGTCTTAAAGTGGACACAGTAGGTCCATAATCTTATTGCAACACCTGTATTTTCCGCATCCATCCTAAATGCAATACAGAATGAATATCATCGGAGCACACAGCTCGATGCCGTTTTGATGTTATCCGATCTTGACTCTAACGCCACGAGGCAAATCACATTGTCTATCACTTTATTATCAGCAATGGCATTCAGGTTGGAAGACCGCCTTTGGACATGGAATCCGCAACGTGCACCCATCCATCATATCATCGTATAGTCTGCTGGCCTGTTTTCTCTGGGTTCTTGTACTGAACTTGAATGAGACGTAGGTCACTTTTGTGATCACTTTGTCCGTATTTGCACGTACATTTCTACATTGAATCTATTAATTAGTGATGTGCGCACAGATATCTCTTGTTCGTTGGTACACAGGTATCGCTTGTTGAGTTAACGCTACGTTAGTCTCTAGTATACTTATAATACATCATTGTAACATCACCTTTGATAACCCTACACTTATTTCCCCTTCAGAAATAGTGTAATCGAATATCGAATGACATAGATTATCATTGAAATTTTTTATTTTAAACTAATTGGTTTAGAATTCAGTATTAATAATACAGATGTTATTGTTTAATTTAACCTTAATCGATATCAATGATTGTGTCTTTATTTATTAATTTTTTAAATTATAAATTATTTATCCTTAATTAAAGTACTATTGCTACAAAATCATTAGTCGAAGTTGTACTATACTGTTCCAAGGGAGACAATGAAAGCAGGAAGAATGTAAGCCGTTGCTGTCAGAAAGATAAGTTTCGCAAATGTCTTTTGCTGTTTATGGTTTTTTAAAAAATACGTTCTAGCTCAGGAAACGCGCAGAGTCAGGCCTTGAAAATGCGAATAGCATGTTTTATGAAGATTCTGAAGAAATCAAAAGTGATAAATAGATTATAATTGTATGTTAGACACCAGATTTCCAAGTTAACAGATACTCTCTTTGAACTTTCGCTAAGATGTAGAAGACACTAGAACGTATAGAAAATATCTATACGGTGATTATGCTGGGTATGTTATATTATGTGTAAACTTTTGTATTAAAGTTTAATAGATTCTGATAAAATTTATGCTGTCTTAAATAGTAAATTATTTTGCAAATATACTTTGCATATATATATGATGAATAAATGTAAAGTAAAATACAGTTCAAAACCTAATCCAACTACTCGCTGAAATGGGTAACAATGTTAGTAATTAAATTATTAAAATATACTAAAATTCCGCTTAATGTCATTAAAAAAACCACTAGCAAAACTACAGTCGTCAACCTAATAATTGTTTTCACTCCCAAACTGGTGTTTTTCGTGAAAGACTATACTTAAACCATATGGCGGTATAGTTTGGATATTCTTACCACAGTTGAATTAGGTTTTCTTGTCAAAATTCTTACATTAGTTTTAATTTAAATTAGGCTGCCTAATAATTGTCTATCTCTTTTATTTTAAAAATGTGCCTTTTAAGTCTGAAGAAAACCCACTTGAGTGAATTGTATTATCTGTAACATTTGCCTCTGTTTCGTTTTCTGCCTTTATTCTATTTTAGCTTGTTACTGGTTACCTGTTATTTATAACATTTTTTTTTCCAAATTCCTCTTTTATATTCTCTAAGATTGCTCACAACTTAGCTTACAGTTTATTAAATACTGCCATCACTTTACCACAATTGTTTAGCTTTTTCGAATTAATTTTTTTATTCGTCACTTTTTCGATTTCTTAATTTAAAAAATTTAATTATTTTGGTACTAAATACTACAGTTTACATTCCTTATAACTTTTTTGTTTTCTGAATTGAAGTGAAACATTACTTCACTTAAACTTTTTTTATGGCTTTTTCTTCGATCTTCTTAATTCGATGTTTTTTACTTCCTTGTACGAAGTAAAAAGGAAGTATTGTAATCGCGAAAAGTTTCAGGCAGCATATTTCAACGAAAATATTTATTTTGACCGCTATCGAATGCAATTTAACGATGTTTTTTCGTGATATCTGTACGTAAAGACAGAATAAAAGACTCTTTTCGTCCAAAAAAATTATAAAACTGCTTTAAAATGAATTCTGAAGAGAATTTTTCGTGGCGTCTGTACGAACGTATGTACGTACGTGCGTATCTCGCATAACTCAAAAAAGAGTAGCCTCAGAACGTTGAAATTTTGTATATAGGACTGCTATAACATGTAGATGTGCAATTCGTATTTTGGTTGCAGTCGGCCGCACCAAACGTATATAAATTTATTTATATATATATATCCACTCTGTTACCCGGCTCAGTGATCTCAGTTTCTTTACTCTTATACGTTTGTAAATTGTACATTTTTTGCTTTAAAAATGATTGAATTATGTTGTTTTTATCTTCCGGTTAAGGTTTTTATGCCTTTAGTAAATCTCTATGCAATATTTTTAGAATTATCAACAATTTTAAAGTTGTTTAAGTGCCGCTAAGCCTAATCCTTTTCTTGATGGCGGCCATTGTTTGTTTACATTTGAAACAGCAGACTAAAGGATTTGTTGCCAATCTAGAGAAACGTAACTTCGCAACAACAAATATAACGCCTTCATTTTTTATTGCAAATTAAATCATGCTTAATCCTTTCTGGAAATTTTTCGAGGAAATAAGTGTTTAAGAGTTACTTCGTGATTTTTAATATAGATATTTTGAGTTTTTATGTATTT